ACATCACTAATTGTTTTAAATATTATTAGAGTTTTATATTTCCACCGTGAATCAAAATGACGACATCCTGTCGCGTTTTAACTTTTCTGTTTGGACTTTATCCAACGCGTTTGGATCTGTCTCGCAACAATTCGTCGCGCTCTTGCTAAAACTAGAGTGTTGCCCCTTATTGGTCTCGCTATGTGAAAGAGAAATTCTGAAAATTCTGAAACTCATAGGTTTAACATGTCTTATCATTTTATTGAAAAAAAAAACCATGTGAGAAGTGTGAAAATCCTAGAATCAATTTTAGTACTAAAAAATTTGAATAAATTAAAAAAACAAAACAACTTCTAGGCTAGTTTCACGTCACGTTCGGAAACAGCACTCGCGTACACACGAGCGTCATTCTATCTTTGTTTTATATATAATGAGCAATAAAGATAAAATATACACGAGTGATGTTTCCGAACGCAGCCTCAACCAGACGTTCAATGAGATGTTTCAACAAGAAGTTTTATAAGATGAATTTGTGATGAGGCGTTTTTCTGGCTCGTAACGGAATAATTTCAAATTCAAAAGATGAGAATAGAGCTGAAAGAATTTCTATCAATAATGATACGTAACAATAATGATACTTGATTTTCTTAATCAATTTTTCAAATCAAACTTTTCAAAATCTACTTTATAACACGTCAAACCAATATTCTCGATCAATCAGAATTCCCTACTTAACTATAGTAAAATTTGGTTCGTCGATAAAATTGACGTTGCGCCAGTGTAACATTGGGACCAATAAGGTTAAATTTGTGAAGCTCCATGTATGAAAATTGCTGTGGGATACAACCCGTTTGCGCACGGGTTGCATGCCGCAGACTACACCGATCCTTCTACTCTGAAGTTAAATCCGCTAAGCTCGATTATATTCGATTTCGCGATCGACTCTGTGTTACGCGAGGCCACCGCATTAGACGCAAGCTATAAAACATCTTGGGATCAGCGGTGGTCGATTTTGGCGTACGCACAGATGATATTGCCCCAATAGCGAAGACTCCAGGGAAGATGCGACGGTTGCTCACCGTGATAAAGAACGAAGCGCGGTCGGTAGGACTTCGACTCAACATCGCAAAATGTGCTACCCTGCACATCCGAGCGAAATGAATCGATCGCGTCCTGCCGACTGTCTTCAAAATCCAGAAAGAGAGGGTGCACTGCCTGTCAGAGGAAAAATCCTACAGGCACTTTGGCGTTCCAATGGAATTTTCTGTCGATCAAAACCACCGTGCAAAGTATGACTTTCGATGCGTTAGCTCCGTGATAGCGAGTTGAGATGATAGCTACTTACATTCTATTGCGATTGCCAAAGTGGAGAACTTCCTCAAAGTAACGGAGAAGGTTGACCAAGTCGTGGTTGAATCTCTCAGCGCGTCAGTGTGAAATTGGTCTACTTCCCTAATAAAAAGAGATGTGGACTGTTTCCTCTCGCTGATTTCCTCGTTGACGTTTTGACGATAACGCACGTCTTCCGTGTTCTCACGGCTGACGATACTAACAAATCGATATTTATATAATTTAGTATACACATCACCTTTTGAAATATTATTAGAGAGTTTTATTTGCACGCTTAATGCACGCTTTTAAATATGTGCTTTCACGTTTACTTAAGAATTTTGTACAAAATTAGCGTATTATTGGTTAAGTTCTTTTCCCATTCAAGATTTCTAAAATCGTTCGGATGACAAGACCAAAAAGAATATTCAGTAATTTTAGACCTAAGTGAAAGAAAAACATGTCGGGACCGTTTTGTACACTTGACTCATAACATAATATAGCGTATGTGCATTACAAATGACAAATATATATGCTGAATATTCTCTTAAAAACTACTTATGTAACAATTAACAAAGAGTTTCGGTTCTAGAAGTTCAAAACTAACAATAATTTGGCGGTCATTGAAAGCTTTACGCTGAATTTTTGTTGCGAAATAAATAATTAACAACACAAAAATCGATTTGTACGTTCACTTCAACAATCGCTTTGAAGCGAACAGTTGTCAACACACTTCTCGCTAAACGATGTTAATTAGTGACATATTAAAAGACTGAACTTTTATTACGACGAAGTACAAAAATCATAACAACTAAATGCGGAAATAGACCAATACAAATGTATTTGGCGCATATACGCACATATATATGTATATTCATAGTTCTTTATATATTTATTTTTTTATATAATATTAAATGTCAAAAAAATCACAACATACATATTATCTACTTAAAATCTAATTAATTCAATCGATACGCGAGAACGTGTGTATCTTATACAATTGCTTGTAGAATATTCTTATTCGAGTATAATAATAAGTATCTAATATACTTGATATTAGAGGTAGGTACTAGAGGTAGGTACACACCTACCTCTTAAATGTAAGATGCACAACTTTTTAAAAGTTATATACATAAATACAAATATAAGAGATATAAGAGATATAAATATAGGTTTTTAAATTGTTTCTCATTACAACATCTCACTTACACTACATTATTAGTTATCTTTAAAATAAATTCTATATAAATTCTATATATATATATATGTATATATAAGTATATATATATATATGTATCTTTTATGTCATTTTTTAAATCAATTTTACATAAATACATGTATATCTTGTATATCGTTGTTGTTTATTTCGCTACTCCCTTTCCCTTCTTCGTAATCATGTCCATTGATTAAGAGGCACGGTAGTGCCTCGCGTCAAGTTCACGCGCGATGAATCACGCGCTACTAACATTAAGTTAAGTAAAATTATCAGAAGTGACAGGCAGCAATCAAAAGCTAGATGAACTAGCAGAAGAAAAGTATAAGTAATAAAATGACAGGAAGTGTGAGTTAGAAGAAGAGAATCAAGAGGCACGGGTACACAGTAGTGCTTCACGATACACATTTTTAGTATGCCAAATGGCATATAAATGTACGCGCACGCTGAAGAAGAAGTGTGAGTTAGAAATAGAAAGAAAGAATCAAGAGGCGAGGTAGTGACAATAATATTTTGAGTCATTTCAGATTTATTGCACAAAAACTCTTCTGTAACGCGTTATACGTGATTGTGACAAATATGTATCAATTTTCGATCAATTCAAAAATTGTACTGTGCACGCAGTGTTCCACACATGTTATTGTTCCATTGTTTCCTGCTCAAATATCAAATATAATAATAAGCAATTATCTAATCTCTTTTTATATGTCAAACAGATTGCTTATTATTGTGAGTGAGATAACATGCAGATATTATATAAAATAAAAAAGTATTACTTTATGTTTATTTTTTCTATTTCGATGGGTATGTATTTTATTTGCGATAAAATATGACCATTACTTTATACATTTTATGCTCTATTATTATCATACTTATTTATTATTGAAATTTAAGAATTTGAATATTAGAATAAAAAAAAAAGAATAAAAAAAGTATTCGAATAAAGAAAGAGATCTTGTTTAACTAACTTTTATTTTACAGACTGAAAACACTTTTGTGCTGAAATCCACAATGAATTGGCATCACAAGCTCGAGGATTGGTGCTTTGCAAAATTTTCCACAAAATCTGACTGAGATAACACTTAAGATAACACCCAATAAGATTTTGCTCAGAAATTACGTAAATGATTCATCAGGTAAATAAAAATAAAGATGTCATTTTTTCTCTCGGAGGATATAACTTTTTTTTCAAGTAAACTGTTTTGAAACTTGGTTGATACTGTGAATATTTTTTTCCATCTTAATGTATTTTTTAAACTACAATGTATATATTACAAATTGTGTGATATCTCAAAAAACTTACCTTTTCAATCAAATAGATTACCTTGATTATGGTACACGCATGTTGAGTTCGATTATTCGTAATGCATGTCACAAATTATGTGTGTGCGTGTGTGTGGGTGTTTGTGAAAACAAGACACTCATACATACATGCGTTAGTGTAGATAAAGCATTTAAAGGATTCGATCAGTTTTACTTTGTATGTAAATTAATTGAGTAAAGTAAATGAGATATATATCATGTAAACTCTAACGGAGTTATATCCAGTATTATATCTTTTCTTGTATATTCGATGACATAGAAAAAAATAAAAGAAGTTGACTCGATGAAAAACTAAATCTCGAGAAATGTTCACTTTTTTACGATGTCACTTTTCTCGTGTAAAAGCAACATCATACAAATTCGTAATGTATAATAATTTAACAAGAAATGCACTTTAATATTATAATATTTCGCAAAAAGATCGATCAGACATGGAACGAAAATGATAAAATAGCTTTGTCAACGATATCAAAATTAATCTCAAATTACTTGTCAATTAATTTTGCAAATTTTAAAAGTTAAAAAAACAACAAAAACAAAATTGAAGAGACGGTTTTACTTGCTTCTACAAAGTGTATCGGGGAGAAGATATATTGGATAAGACTTAAATAACAAAAATGAGACCTCTCGTAGAAACGTGAGCGCACGTACGCGGAATCATCAGGATTTCGACAGTGATTCCAGGGGTACGCAGTGAAGCGGATAGGAAAAGAAGAAGTCCAGTAGAGGAGGAAACGAAAGAGAGAGAGAGAGAGAGAGAAACATACAGGTACATTTCGCTAATAAGCCTCATTCCTCGATACGCGCGCGGGGAGAATAATTACGAGCTTGCGCAGAACACGTCTTCGAACGGCAACGGCGGCGGCGGCATCAGGAGATGTGGGGGGTGGGTTGCGCGAGAGGGTGGTTCGGAGGAGAAATAAAGCTCCGAGCCCAGCCGGCGAATGCGGCCGCGCCGGATGCTGAAATTACGCTCCGCCCGGAACGACGTCGTGGTCCGTGCCCGGTCGTTCGTTCGCATTTCGCGAGATACCAGCAGCGTGAGGACGGCAGGAAACGTGGGGGCGCGAGATCGTGGGTGTTTCGCGCGCACGACTTACGCGGATTACGCGCACGCAACGTGCGTGCACGCGCGAGCAAAGGGTGCGTGTTCGTTGCTCTTGCGAGCAGCGCCGGAGGGTGAAGAGAGCGGTAGTGTCCCGGTAGTGGTGTGTCAACGACCATTCTCAGCCGATGGCCTCGTTTCGCTCCTAGAGATATACATCCCACCTTCGCCCACCGTCGTCGCGTGGTGACGTTTTCATCCCCGGATATGCCGAGGCATGCGTCGTAAAAATCCCGGGATTGATGTATCGCAGTGCGCAGGTACGCGACATGCAGAAGAAGAAAGAGAAGTGCACAAATTGTACAGCTCGGGCGCGCGCGCGCTCTTACTCGCGTGCATTTGCATGCCGTTGCCGCACACGCGGTCCCAAATACAATGCAAGGCAAAACACGCGTGTTCAAGAGAGAGAACGCGCGTGTTTCTCGAGAATGCGCGAAAGAAGACGTTCCGAAAAGCGGAAAGTCTTTTGAACGATGCGTATTGACTTGGTAAGGGACAATCGGTCAACGACTTTTATCTCGCTTGTAATTCTTATCGCGATAAGACTCGCGTTCCGCGGAAATCGATGATGTTACAACAACCCGAGTACGTGTTCGCTTGAACTACCGCAACACGAAATTCGCTGTCGATAGACGATCAGGGCACGATAACGTTGTGACATATGATAACATTCGTACAATATATCATGTTAACGTATAAAGTGGCGTTACGATGGCGTTATGATTACTACAGATGACGCATATCGTCTAAAAGCTAGTATTAGAATAACAATCAATCGGAAGAAAAATACTAAGTACCTTCATGAACGATTGCGTTTCTGTTTAGATCTGCATTTACTACCTGCTATGCATAGCAGCGGCGGACTTGACGTTTACCTCCGATCTGGAGATGACCACGACGGAGAGTTCGGAATGTCGTGTACAAAAGTGTTTTTGTCTTTCTCCGAAGCAGGTTATAATATATAAAAATATTTATATGTACATATAAATATGTATATACATATCTGTAAAAATTAAATAACATTTATCTGCATGTTTTACTCGTATTTTATTCATGTGTGTGCGTGTGGCGCACGTTATAGGTAATCTGCAATGTAGGCGGTCTCAAGGACATACCGACGCAGGACCTGTCCGAGACGATCGAGGATCTGTCGTTGACGAAGAACAACTTCCCGGTGATAAAGGGCGACGCGTTCAAACACCTCAAGATGCTGCGTAAGCTCACCCTGGACGGGAACAACATCACGTCCATACGGCCGTTCGCGTTTCGCGGTCTGAGCCGTTTGCGCGAGCTGTCGATTCAGAACACGCCGTTGCCGTACATCGAGAAGTTCTCGTTCGCCGCGCTGCAGAACATCTCGGTGCTGCTGCTGGCGAACAACAAGATCCGTTACGTCGAGGGTAACTCGTTCGCCGGCACCTCCAACGTGAATGTGATTTTGCTGAGCAATAATCCGCTCCAGACGATCCACAGTCACGCTTTTGCCGGCCTCACCAACGTCAACAATCTCATCCTGCCGTCCGGTATACGCACAATCGAGCAGGACGCGTTCGAGGGCCTGCAGCACGTCGGTCAGCTCAAGCTCAGCTACATGGATCTGTCCGAGCTGCAGGCGTACACGTTCCGCGGTCTGTCGTACGTGCGCTCGCTCTTCATTCAGGAGAGCGATCTCGGCGTGATGCGTAAGGACGCATTCGCCGGTCTCACTCACGTGGACAACCTGAACATGCTCAACAACAAGATCGATCTGATCGAGCGTCTACATCTGCGCTCCGACAGCTACGTCGAGATACTGCGGTTCCGCGGTAACCACGTGCTGGAGGCACCGCGTCACGCACGAGACGTGATCCTCGAGGTGAGCTCGATCAGCGCGATCGATAATCACTTTCCGTGCGACTGCCAGGCGCACAACGTCCTCGAGAGCGACTTCGCGCGCGGCGACAGCGTCGAGTTTCAGCGTCGCAACTACTGTATCTCGCCGTTCGAGTACAACGGCAAGCCCATGAACGTCGTCGACTTCGATCTGGTCGCGCGATGCCACGACAACGTCATTCAGGACAATCTGGGCTCGGGTGTCGTCGAGGTGTCGTCGCGCCTGTCTTTGCTGTTAATCGCCTTCCTGCTCTCGACGAACTTCTTTCGATGAGCGCGTTTTCTCTTTTTCTCTCTCCCTCCCTTTCTCACTCTCTTTCCAACTAGTTTTTCAATGCTCGTCCTTAACTCCTTGTTGTTAGAAGTGGCTACAAAAGAAGGAGAACAGGTCAGAGTTTTCTGCGCGCGCGCGCGCGCGCGCTTTCCAGCGCTCTGTTGTGTACGGTTTATCGGGATCCTTTTTGGTCTTCTTCTTTTTTTTTTTTTTTTGGTTTTCGTAGCGGAGTCTTCCTGACGCGCGATAAAGAAAGCAACAAAAGAAATATCTCGCGTGCACGTTTACGTTAACCGTATCGCAATCTCGCATTGTGGAAAGCGCTGTATCGATCTTTCTACTCTTACAATGACTTCCCTGCGATATTCTGCTCGAAAGTCGGAAAAAAAAAAGATCAATTCGTGAGAGAGACGTTGTAGACTCTGACTATACGAATGAAATTTATCCATTTACGAAATTATAGTTGATAGACAAAAGTTTATTCTCTATAAATAATGTGTGAAAAGTGAGCTCAATGAAAGATATTATTGAATTCTATTGCATTTGCAATGTAAATCTATATATTGTATATTCATAATTTCTAGAATTATAAAACGGAAGCAAAGATCTAATTTTAGATTCCATACACAACACTATTGTTTTTCGATTATTATCGAACGTTCCACAAGATTCTTTAAACTTTTTTAATTGCATTTTGCCACTTACTTCTTAGAATTGTTTTTTTTGTATTTTATTTCGAACTAGAGATTGTGCAAAGAGAAAAAGTAAAATAATTCATTCTCTTCAATTTTCGAATGTGATAAATATGAAATCCTCGCGGAAAATAATCTTTCTCGTTCCGAGAAGTTTAAGTATATTTATAAGAGAGCTTTTTGTAGATTTTTATGAACGGTAGAATTGCTCGTTATTTAAAATAATCACAAAAAATATCGCTATCGAAAAAGTATATAAAGTTAGAGCGCTGCGAAGAAAACCAGCAATAAAAAAAAGTTATTATTAAATACTTATTCACAATATCACGCATTCTCTTTACGCATATAATGTTGCATATGATGCATTGAAAACATTGTGTAAGCAAAGGTTTCGTTTATTGTGTGTAAAAAAAAACAAAAAAAAACAAAAAAACAAAAAAAAAACAAAACAAAACTGCCACACAGCCGCACGAAAAAGACGGCTGATTATTAAACGCCAAATACATATCCTTTCTCGTATACATGAAAGTGAACGAAAACGTGATTTTACATATCGAAGAAAAAAATCGTTTACAGCGTTCGATATTTGTTCTTGTGAAAAAAAAAAAATGTAAATCTATATATTGTATATTCATTATATAAAAAAAAAAACATCCGAAATTTTGCAATGATCAGAGTTATTAACATTAGTGACACATATTATAAAGTTATTATATATATATAAAGTGTTACATTTTTTACATATATAATTGTTTATTGTTAGAAATCGATTTATTAATTTTATCAGGTTATTTTGAGCCATCGTATCTTCTATTTTTCACATGTTTTGTGTGTCGAAATACGATTTCTCACCGCTGATCGACTTTTCATTAAACTTATTAAACGTACGTATAAACCTCAATTTATACGTTTAATAATGTTTCGATAACGCGGTCCTGTAGATATAACGTATACACTATTATTCTAACGTATGTGTAAACATCAATTTACGTTTAATAATGTTTAACGCGGGCCTGAACGTAATGTATACCACATTCGCGCGATCAATCATGATGATTAATTCGTTGCGAATTCAATCGCAAGTATGTATAATATTTCGCGTTAAAGCACGTCTACACGAGCTTTACCTGGCCACGAACTTGACCAGTTTGAGAAAGCGCGTTAGTTAGTTTCGTCACTTCTCCGATCAACTCTGTCGCCGGGAATAACCAACAGCTCGAGATTTCGAAAACTGTAAAAAGTTGTAGTTTCAAACACAATCTAATATTATTTTTCATTTCCATATTCTTTCAAATTTCTCAGGAAAAAAATCGAAACCACATTTTTCTCGCGATCAATTTGTTTTTCTCCAATTACGAATTGTTTCGTGTGAAATATGTAAGTTTTATTGCTGTGCACAAATAATAAAATAATGCACAAACAATAAAGTAATTTTATGTACATTATCTGTCTTAGATGCGATAAAATAAAAATAATAAAGTGTGACAGCTCTGCTAAAGAAATTAGATTACGGATAATCAATATTATCTTAGCCGATTAAATTAATCGGGGATGGTGAAACTGAGGCTTCTTAGACTTTGCGCTCCAATAAGCCAGATACTTTTCGTAAACAACGTTTTATAGAAGCGAAAATATCGATTAAAAAATTTTTGGTTGGTTTTAGTCATATCCATTAAACACAAGGTCTCTGACAAAACAATAGATAGGTCTTTTTTTTTTTTTCTATAAAGCAAACATTTTATCTTTACACACTCACATTCCTGTACACTATCAGTTATTATGAAAGAGAAAGTTCCTTTACCACAAGTTAAGTTTTACAAAGCACGAAAATATAATATCGAAGACTAGGTGATTTTAGTGATTTTATATGCATATATATGTATATACATATATATATATATATATATATATGTATTAGCGTATATATATGTATATACATATGTATTTTATTTCCATTATCATATCGTACATATAGGCTCACTTTTTGCGAACTTTACTTCCGGGTCCAAAAATCCGAGCTATACGGCCCTTCCGTGTGTGTTCACACTTTGCTACATTCAAAATCTCTATTAGCAAATTAGAAAATTATTTGAACAACAATTCAGAAATGATGAAAGTATCTAGCGACTATAAATATACATATAATACGTTTGAAATTGCGTTGTATTCGATAGCACTCTCGATGTGTATTGAAATTATATTCCTGCGCAAAAAAAAAAAAAATACGTAAATTATAAAATAAATTGAATAGGATATTAACACGCAGCGTACAAGAGAGGGAACTAAATAGTAGATTTGTTACATTAAATTGTAATGTTACATTTAATTGTAAATTCTTGACATAAATGTATCTCTGCGTTTATTTAAAATCGTATCAAAAAACAAAATCTCCAATCTATACTAATAGCGATAAAATTGTTGAGTTTGAACGAGATAAAAGAGACGACAAATCGCTTCTATATCGTGTCATTTGGATATATATTTGTTTTAGAAATTCATCACACACACGCACGTAAAAAAGGTCATGAAGAATTCTTTATCCCAACACTATTGATTGTCATATTTATATTAAATTAGTGATGATGAAAAAAGGAAGCGTTCTCTTTTCTCGATATTGACATAAAACTGACACATCTAAGTAAAACAAACTTCATTGATTTGTTCAACAAACATACCGCCGCGCGAGATACTCTCACGTATACACACTCTCACATACACATACTCGCACACACGTTATCTTTGATATTGTAAAGTTTACAGTGTAAACAATTGTACACACTTTCTATTTGTATAAAAAAAAAAAAACAAACATTTCCCGTGCCAACTGTTTTGTATCTATTCAATGTTGCAAGATCTTGCAAGACCAGGAATTTACAAAAATAGAATTCAAGCGAAGTAATCAATCGTATAGTTTAGAATTTTCGAGTTCTCGAATTGCAATCGTAACGTTAACTGGTTGTTTCGCATAAAGTTTTGTATATTCCTGGTCTGAGTAAACAGAAATGCGAGAAGAAAGAAAAAGAAAGTACTGAATAGAAAACGCGAGGGAGTTTTAAACGATATATATATATATATATATATATATGTATGTATACATATATATATGTATACATACATCACAGAACATTTTGTTCTTCACGTAATCGAGTTAATAAAAAAAAATAAATAAATAAAAAACTATTGCTTTATAGATGAGAAAGTGCATTGGCGTCCAAAAGTTATATACACATACCTACTCTGTGGACTAAAAATCATCGGAGTTATTAAAGTAACGCTACATATGCTTAAAACCGAAAAGAAAACTACATAAAGCGCGGTTTCGCTGCCACTCATAATGTAAGATTTGCTTGGCCTTCGGTCAGCATAATAACCGAGGACCAACCTAGCTTATATTTTTTACCAATGTTTAAAATAGCGTTTAATAGACACGATTATTGAAAAACTGTAATCTTTCATTGTAGTTAGAAAATGTTCTGTCATCAATAATAAATGGAAAAGAAAACATTAACAACACAATTCGCTCTGTGTATGATTTTCCGTGTTCGTAGAACTGTGCCGAAGAAGAATGTTTTTATTTGTTTTATACAAAATGTGTTTTTAAAGCATGCGGCAAACTACTTCGAAGTGAATTCTTTTCTATATTTGATTATACCTGATTTTATCGGGATATATCTGATATTTTCGGGATTAAAAAAAGTCGTTTATACTTGTGGAATATGTTTAAATAATTTAATATACACTTGATCATGACTGATATTTAATTATATAACAATATACTCAACAGTATTCGCGCGCTTAAGGCGGTAGTAAGAGTATATCTTTCATTCTATATTTATGCCACATCTAGCGTGTTCAAAAGACGCTCAATGAATCGGAACAGTCGGTGGATCTGGAATAGGATCGAATTCGCCAACGCTTTCCATATATTGAGGATCTTTCTTGTACATTTTTAACTCCCAGTGCATTCGCGACTCCATCGTCGTTAATTCGACACCAAGATCTTCCAGAGTTGGCAGGTCTTTTTCTATTTTGTCAGAAATGCATTCCTGCAATACGTCAAATTAAAACATTTATATAGCACAATTTGTTCTAGTTTTGTATTGTAAAAATTCGGTCAAAACTTCGTAACTTTACTTTTAGAACAGCGATAAAAATTAAAACGTACTCTTTCTAATTTTTCCCACGATAAATATCCCGCTGGATAAGCGGGAGTTACTATTTCATTCAAAGTAACGAGAAGTTTGTAAAGCGGAGCATAATCCAGATCCCATCTTCTGTAGGAATACTCGTCTGGATCGCGCATCGTCAGCCGATGGAACCAGTCCACTATTTCAGACAATTTGTAACGATGCGGTCTACAATATACCGATGTAATATCAACATTAGTGTAAAATTAATTCACACGAATGAAAAAAAATTGCGAAATGCTATCGATCTATGTTACCCAACAAACTGGTAAGTTTTGCCAGCAGTGTTTTTAGGATCTTTCACGATAGCCGCAATACCTCCAGCGATATCGTATACAGCCACTGGCTGCTTTTCTGTTTGTTCACCTTTTTTCCACATTGGTACAGTTCTGTAAAGCAAACAACATTCATCATCAGATGTCTTGACAATTTCGTATCATGGTACGTATTTTTATTGATGCAAAGTACCCAAAGTGATGTCTCAGAAATTGGCAGTAGAAGCGAGTATATCGGTCCTCTTGACCCCATATGTCTGATGGTCGGACAATTGTAGCTTCAGGGAATTCTTCTCGCACTGCAAGCTCACCTAGCCATTTTGTGCGAAGAAATTGAGAACCATCTTTTAACAAATGTGGCTTAACATAGAAAAAAGTTATAAAAATTATATACATATATTCAACACATAAGTTGCTCCATAGAAAATAAAAATATAAGTTTAAATTACTTCTGGCTCATCACTCGCGTTTAAGGCAGATACGTGAACAAAATGTTCAACATTTGCCTCTTTGCATAATCTAGCGAGTCTTCTGGCTCCATCAACGTGCACTTCGTGATAAGTAAAATTTCTTGTTTCCCAATCGCGTCCGATCAAATTGACAACAACATTGGAATACTTAATACATTGTCTTATTGAATCCTCGTCGCGCAGATGAAACGGATGGAACAATACTTGTCCGAGATCTCCGCAGAGTTTCAGAGGCAAACAATTGTACATATCACATCTGTAAGGTATTAGCAACTGCACAAATCAAGAGTTTAACAGTTAATATAAAGAAACAGCTTTTACTATCTTATCAGTTTACTAAATTACAATGTAATAAACCTGCCTGGGTGCCGATCTTGCCAAGGCGATTGGCTACATATCTGCCAACAAATCCAGTTGCACCGAACAGCGTACACACAATTCCATTGAAAGAACTACGACCACCTGTGCCTCTCTTCAAAGAGGCTGTGGTTGGATGTTTGATGCTTCGTGGCTGCGACGAGTAATGATTCGTTTGCACAGCGACAGCCGCGATGCATGTTGTTTGTTTTTCTAAAATATATACAACAAGGATAGAGTGCAAAGAATATTGGTTATATAATTCATAAACAATTTGAATTACATATGCATATAGGAACAATAGTAAAATTGTAAGTTTGGTAAAATAATATTAGAGTTTTATCTTGTAAAAACAAAGTGAATCACATTATTGCAAGACTTGAATGACAGTATTTACTTGCTGCTTGCAGAGTGTATCTTGGAATCAAGGCGGCCATCTTTGTCGGCCCATATGACCGCAAAAAATTTTTTGATCAGATTCTGACTCCTCACGCAGCAAGAAGATAATGACCAATTTTCATGAGTTACATTTGGTACGCAGTTTAGTTTCGTGCGCCAGTAGTGTACATTGGAAGTACGGAGTCATGTACACGGAACCTCTCTTCAGTCGGTTATATCGGGTTCTGCTTTGTGCTGTGTTTATATTTTTTTGCGCGCTACAAACACCGAATCGCGCGAACTCTAGCCACTATAAAACCGAACCAAACCAAACACCGGATCGATCTAGTATTTTAAAGGTTATTTGATGCAGGGGTGATACGGTATAAGATATACACGTGTAAATTTCGAGATATATTTCTCCGAATAAAAAAAAAACAGAAAAAAATGGCGAAGTCAGCTATTTACAAATATATGAAGATGCAGAATAGGCCGTACAGCGTGAACGACATTGTTATGAATTTGCATAACGAATACAATAAGTCTGCGGTTCAAAAGGCAATAGACCAATTGGTGACAGACGGGCAGCTATTTGCAAAAGTAGAACAAGAATCTTTTTTATTGCATAAGATTTAATGGAAATGTATTTTTACAAAAAAGAACCTGTCTATAATTTGTTTTCTGCTTTGTACAGGTCTATGGCAAGCAAAAAATATATTGCATTTATCAAGATGCGGAGTATGACACTGATGAGCTAATGAGAATTGACAAAGAGCTACAGTCTCATGCCAATGACGTAGAGAATAAATATCAAGAGGTAATGAAGGAATTGAAGGAACAAGATGCTCTTTTAGATTCTCTAAAATCGAGTTTATCACTGGAAGATGCGCAAAAAGAAAAATTAACTTTGGAAGAAAGCGTGAAACAGTCAACACACAAACTGAATGATTTAAAGAAAACGACTGGTAGTCAGGATTTACGCGAGTCCAAACGAAAGGTGGAAACAGAATTGGATGAATATAAAAGTCAATACTTAAAAAGAAAAAGAATGTGCATTGAAATAATAGATTGTATTTTGGAAAATTATTCTGGCACCAAAGAAGAACTGTACGATGAAGTAGGCATTAATCCAGTAACAATAAAATAAATTAAAGTCAGTAGGCTTTTCTATTTTTTTTTTTTTTTTTTTTTNTTAAGATTTCTTACACAACACTATTGGAAGTGTGGAGTAAGAGTTTTAATGTTTTGTTTTGTTTTTTTTTAATTTAAAATAAATGTTTAACTAGTGTTAAATAATAATTTCCATACTTTCAAAGCAGAAATTTCATCTGAATTCATAGTTTATTTACGCAAACACTTTAAACGAGGTAACATTGCGTTACGCGTCATTATTAAAGATTTATAAATTACGCAGTAAATAATCAAATGTTTTATATTTTGTTTTACATGTTTTTTAGTTTTGCAAATATGGATAACTTATGGATAACTCTGTGTCCATAAGTTATGTAATTTATGTTAAATTACAACAATCGTTTTTTACAATTTCATATAAAAGACAATACAGTCAAAATGTCCAAACAAAAAAAAAACTAACTTTGTGTACTAATATATGCGATTGAAGCAACAGTAGTTTCCGAATCATTTGTATGTAGGAAAATTGTCAATACCGTGTGAACGTACATTTGCACAGTTTTTCTTCAATGTATTTGGAGTGTATTTACACACAAAGGACCAATATTTGAGATGTAATAAATTTTTAAAAGAGCGGTATAGGTTTGTTTATAATTACAGTTTTTTTTTCGCATATTTATATAGTGTTTCATTGCGGATATAGAGATATACACTGCAGGAAGTATGTCAGCATACGTGGTGTCCTGTAAATACAAAGATTAAAAAGAATATTTTTTAGATATAGCAAAAAGTACAAATTATATTTTAGTTCGTGCGTGAGAACTGAATGGCATATATATATATATGTATATATATGTATATTCAAGTGTAATTTTTTTTATACAAAAGCGAGAAAAGATTTACTTTGAAACTGAAAATGCAAACAGTTTGAATATACAGTTAAAAAAATATACGTTTCTCTTTTTCTTGTAATTTTAAGCAAGTATCAATAGTTTCCACCTCAATATTCATAGTTAGTTCTATGAAAGAATCTTCTCCATTCTCTTCCTTAATCTGTCCCTCAGTCTCTCTGGCATTCTGTCCCACACACGTTCCTTCACTCTGTCCTTCACCCTGTGCAACAGTTTGTCCAGCCACGGAATCTTCTTTATCACTTGGTGTGTGAATTTCGGGATGAACTCCTTGATCGAGATCTTCTTCTTCTGCTCCTTCGTGAGTATTCCTTCCACGACGCATTTGCCATTTAAACAATACTATAAAAAAAGATACACCAAAGAACATTCAATCGTTACAGTTAATAATATATTTTCTATATGTATCTGAAATATAAAAAAAAAAAGATATAACGCGCTTCTTACCAATCCGTCGCCACAGGGAGACCCTTCCGCCGCTGGCGCTGTTGCTCTGCAAAAATCTTGGAATTCGGGATATTCGCATTCCAACCGAGTGCAGACGGTAGAATCGTTCTGCAAAATAATCTCATGCAACTTTTCCGAAGATTGTGAAACTGCTCTGTAAATGTGTCGCAAAAAAAGTCATCAGTGTTTTCCAAGAGCATTCAACCGAACTTACAGCATTACACGCTTTTGTTCCTAAAACCTGATAACACTGTTCATCCAACGACATCAATTTTCCGGGCAAAACACGCTCCACTTGTATACCGGATATAGGCTCGTTGTAAAGACACTTTGCTCTGTCTTCGCTGAAACAACACGATCGATTCGAATTTATTTTTTATTCACGGTGTTCTGTTTACGTTTATTTTTAAAACATTTATATGTTGAAATAAAATTTCTTATATCTTTTAACTTATTCTCAAGCGTAAGTCGTACAACACCTACTTACTTGATGAACTTGTAAAACGCGTTTATGCTGCACGAGGACCACTCGAATCCGTTATCCGATAGCATAAGTCCGTTGGTCATGATAAAACCGTCAAAAGCAGAGCAGTCTCCGGCTTTCGGATTGCCATCGTGACGCGCTCCTATCCTGTAATATTAGCGAAGAAATCTCTCGTCAACCGATTCGACAAATTATCTAGTAAAAGATATATATTTTCTCTTATTAAAATTAATTTTAGATATTTTTTTATATAAAATTAATTTTAGATGTTTTTTTTCATATACAATTAATTATGGATGTTCTTTCATATTGTGCTACAAATTACGATTGTAAAGACATCGTTATGAAAAATACGGTGACTTACAAATGACCGACTTCATGAGCCGTCGGGATAATACCGGCGTATCCGCCGTTATCCTCGACAAGTCCCACCGCCTCGGACGATTGCTTTGTTGCGTTTCTATCGCATGCGCCGGCCACATACGCGTAACCTGTGAAGACAAATTATTTTATTTTCGTAATTTCGCTTTTTTAGCAAAAGTTTTTTATTTTTACAATATTTAACGCGCAACACATGAAAGTATCAGTCTCACCTAGAGTGAAAGTGTCGCAACACAAGTCTTACCTAGAGTGGAAGTGTCGCAATAATCGTCGGTAAGCATGTTGCACAGGTCAAGACTGAAATAACAGATAATGTTATCTTGTCGTCAAGTGTTACGAGCGAGTTTCACAATTTTTTATTAAAGGAACTCACCTCGTCATAGCAATTGCGAAATCGTAAAAATCTGTCGGGAATCTGGTTTCGCGATAGAAGTAATCCGCCATACCGCGCAGAGCGAGATCCGCATCCACGGACGTATCTTTAAAGAGACTATTTTGCAAGTAAGGAGTCGCGTCTTTATCCTGGAACGACAACAAATTTATGTTGGGACACACACGTAATTCTGTGTATTACATTTTTTTTGTATATTTATTAATTAAACTTAAATAACATATTTTTTTAAAAATGTGTGCGCACACATTAAATTCTAATAATATTTGACGCAAATAAAAAAGTTAACCGTGCTTATTCTTGAGAAACGTAAAATCTAAGAGACTGTTATTTGCGTGAGTAATAATAATGATGTATAATCATTAAACGTACTGCGGCTATAATTATTCCTGCGATATTGAATCGTATTTTGGGCGTCGTTAGCAAACGATATCTGAGATCGACCGCGTTCCAAAATGAGAGCAAATACGTTAGAGCGTGATCGAGATCTTCGCCGAGTTTTCTGCAACAAAGCAGTTACTATTTTTTTTAATATGCAAATTATTTAAAATGGTGTTTGGACTAGATATTTTACAAAAAGTAAGAAATTTATTAAGAAAAAGTATTTTTTCTTGTTTGTGTTTACTGTCGTCATTAAATATGTTTTTCATCACTTACTCAAATTCCCCATGATCGATTACCACCAATACTTCTGGATAAATAATTTGCGGCGCATCACGTTTTGCTCTGTGGTTTTCGGGATTTGTTATTTCTAAAAAAAAAACAAATACGAAATTTTAATGATATTAACTGTAAGAAAGAAAAGACCTTTTTCGAAATCTCTTTGCGTAGATTTTGTTTACAAAAATCAACTTACTGAAATCACTGTATTCGGACGGAGGAACTTTGTAAACTATATGATGATCCGTGTAAGAGAAATTGTCATCGTCGTCATTCGTTTCGTTTGCAACCGACTTGAGAAGATTCGTTTTTTCCTGGACAATTTTTTTCAAAACTCGTCCGGGTATAGATTTTATGACAAATGAATTTTTGAGTATCCCGTTCTGTAACACATCAATTTAAACGTACGAGAGAACTTTAAAAACATATATATATATATATATATATGTATATATTTATTTATTTAATTTCACGTGAATAATCTTGTAAAAATTGTTTTCTTACCAAACGTACTCCACCATCGGAGTTGGGAGTTAGCAGAAGCGAGCTCGAACTGTTTACATCTTGCAGCATTACTCCTATAGAATTCAAAGCCTGTAATAAAGATGATTGATTAATGATGAATTGTGCGATAATTAAAAGAGAGAAAAAGAGATTTATAGAAACAATGGAGATATCAACTTTTATGCAAAATGTAATAATTAATATACATTTAATTTATATTTCTATCGATAGATCGAAGTAAAAACCAACCTGAGGTATTTGCCTATACTGTAATCCCTCAGGTGCTTCCGGCTTAGACTTGGCAAACCACACAGGTGTGTTTTTGGTAGCGAGAATTCCTTCCGTAGGATTCAAGTACAATTTGATGTCTTCGTTGAACGCTTTTAGCTTCAATTCGGATGCCTCGTCGTCAGAATCTTCTTGTTTCGTAAAACGATGTTGCACGGGCACTACTTCGTACTCGGGTACAAGATGATGTGGGGTGTGAAAAATTGCCATCACTTCTTTTGGCGTCATGTGATCGTGAAGCTGAAATTGCAACTTTTGCTTCCTGATATTTGTTTCCAAGACGTTTCCGTTTCTTTCTGCGCGAATTAAGAGAGTACTGGATACCCAACTATAGAGGCCTGTAAATCGACGTTTCTGATATTTCGTTTTGTGTATTTACTGCATCAAATCCAAAATGCTTCTATAGAAATAAATAAATTGTGCTAAGAGAGTGCGCTCGTTCTTTGGAATGTCAAAATTCAGCATAAATTTTTTCTTACACAGTTTTCTTCTATAATCTCATCATATATTCATGTATGTAGAATTATTTCTAAGTTTCTGTACGTATTATTTTACACTGAATTAGTGCACTAAGTACGACTAAAAAGAACCTAATGAAACACTCAGATTATGGTCGTGAATGTCTAGTTGATGAGAAAAAAAGATATTTGTGATGACAGAATAGGATATCATATAAAAGAAAAAAAATTAGAAATTCGAAAAATTTAGGTGTCTAAAACGTCGATTTACTTTATCTAGGTCTCTATAGTCGATATCCAATCTCCTCTTAATCATCAACAATTGAAAACACTGGTTATCGAGTTGAAATTACCTGCTCGCATTGTACAAATGGCGTTCCGGCCAGGCATAATAGAAACACGGTGAGAAGCATCTTTACAAGTGCTTCCGAGAAGAAGATCTGGTTTTCAACAATTTCGCGCTTTTCTCCGAACAATAAGATGTAAAGTGCAAATTGCGAATCTTCCTCGCATGCGCGCGATGTTTCGGGATTACTCGAGGCTGATGATATTCGAGACTACTTTTTTTTCGCGCGAGCTTGTAACTCGAATACAAAAGGGGAACTATTTTGAGCCCCAATATAAGGTGAACCGCGGTGTTTGCTTTGCTTATGATTAATACAGGCAAAACACCTGTACATATAACGCGATGGTTTGCGATAAAGTGCGATAATATGGAAAAGAAATTGTACAAATTCATAATTCTTTCGCGACAGACGACATACAGTGGATACATGAATTAAACATCCTCAAAGATTAGAGCGCGAGATGTTTATATTGTCATTTTTGACTCGCAAAAGTTGAAAAAAAGTTTGTTTCTAAAGGAGTTTCTAGAGAAAAACGCATCGTTAATACATCGTAAATACATTGTTAGGGCAATACACTCTTAAATAGTTTAGAAAACAAAATAGTTGAAAAAACGAAGGAGAAAAATTTCAGCGTTCAAAGAGAGAATCAGTCAAATTTCTAACAAGTAGAAATGGTCATTTACACGCATTGACAGAATAACATTTATTACAAGAATTACTGTTATTACATCAACAGAATTTCGTAAATAATGTCTAGTTTTATATAAGAAATCATCTGCGATAAAGCTGTTAATAGCATTCAAAAGTTCGATTAATTTTCCAAAACCGACGACACGTCCGCGCATTCGATCCACGTGTGATTGATGCATGTGCCTGTCACAAAGTATAACGCAAGTTCAGATACCATAAATAATTATTACGTTCTCCTGAAGGACATCGAATTCTTTCTCTTTGTACAAAGATTATGACTTTGAATGACATATTTTGATGTCTGCTCGCTGTCAAATAAATCGTTTATCACGCGCTACGAACGTAATTCGACTTGATCGCGTGTGTGGACACATCCTCGGTAATTTCAGACTCGCGTCAATAGCGAAGTAACATAAAAAAAAAATGTAACGTATGTTATTACGTGCGTTTTATTATCATCAATCATGCGTTTGCAATCTATCATCTGCGGCTACTGCAGATCTTGATGGCGACGAGTTTTGCAGAAAATATATATTTCGTTCTTAATTAAACGATTAATTAGAATACCAAGAGATACAGAGTATAAGTAAACAAGTAAAAAAATGTGAATCTGCAAAATGCAATAATTAAACAGAGGCAATTCAACTATCGATAATAACAATTTTCTTTTAGTGAGATCTGTTCAGAATTTATATACAAATATGTACGAATAACATAAATCACGTTGTCGTATACACGCATAATTGCGGAAAGAAAAATAAGAACCATAGGTGAATAGATGCAGAAACATAAGACAATGATTTAAAATCATTCCCATTTATTGTCTTGCGCTATACAGTTTCTTCGTGATTTCCATCCGAAATGGCTCCGTCCGCACGCGCGCTTGCGACACGCGCGCGCGTGACGCACCTGTGCCGTGTGGCGAGTCCTTCGCGAGATCCGCTAGCTCCTTACCGAATAAATACAAGCCCAGTCGAAATACCGCACCGATTGATAGTCCAGTCTGTTTTTTGTATATTTATTTTTCTCTTTAGATTCACTATACGTACGGTACGTATTTCGAGGCTCGCGGTAATGTACCACTACAACGTAAAAAGTTACATGTGTGTGTGTCGGGAGGTATGAGATTGCGCAGCTCTGCTTGAAAAATCCGATGTGCGGTCTCACGTTCGTCGCGCAATCGATGATAAACCGCAAATCGTGAATTTGGCAGTCTCTCCGCGAGAAAGAGAAGACACAAGAGGGATCAACCCCGTCTCTCCCCCCTCTTCCCGTTTTGTCAGTGCGACGCTTTTTATTTCCGGATGCCATCACGACGGCTTGCGGGCGATAACATTCCTTGATAATTGTCCGTGACGGAAAAACGTATGAAAACGTAAACAAAGCTATCGAATCGATTTTCGTTTTTTTTTTTTTTTTTTTTTTTTTTTTTTTTTTTTTTTTTTTTTTTTTTTGTTGCGTTCGTTGTGTTAGTCAGCACAGATTGTCTTCAGGGACGCGCAGCAACGACTCTTCACAGATTGTAGATGGCACAGCCATGTTCCCAGCCTGTCAATCATATTCGCGCAATCTGATCCCACGTCCGTACATTCATCGGCCTCTGTTTCTAAAACTGGATAAACACAAAAAAAAAATGTAATTATCGACGTTGGCAAGTCACACGAAATTTTGGCGAAGAAGAGAGAAGTTCGTCGCGAACACTCGTTCGTCTACAAAATATTACAAAATATATATTTCTTTTATTAATAATAAAAAAAAAATTAACACACTTTTTTACACGCGATTTTTAAATACGCTTCTCTCATCTGCGAGAAGAAAATTTCTTTGTCTTCGAAGAATTCAAACTGGCAACTTTAACTTTGAACTATAAATTAAATGGAAAAATGAGATCGTAATTTGCACGTTAATTGAATAGATGATAAGTCGATACATTTTATATGACGTACAATTAGAGCGCGATGGAAACATTAACATAGAATAAAATTAAGTGTGTGTTGCAACAACGAGAATATAAATCGAGTATTGAAGTTTATTAGTAATTCCATAAGAGAAAGAGAGAGAACGTAAGTGTATTGTCGCTGTTGTTTTGCGTGGTAAGGTAAGTAATTACATGTACAAAAGTATTACACACACTTGTTTTTTTTTTTTCACTGTCTTGCTAGTGAATTCGATGAGCGAAGAAATGTGTGAGCGAACGAATGGTTTTGCGTTTGGAATGCTTGTGTGCATTTTTGTCGAGGGAATAACGAGAGTCACGCAAATATTCCAAGTCTTCAAAGGATCATTGTTAGAATTTTTGTTTCGAACATGTTCGAGAGAATCGAGATGGAAGTCCAAGCAAAAGTGAGACATGTTCCTCTTTTTCTAGAAGGATACACGAATTATGTACAAGAGATAAATAACGTTAAACTGAAGAAATGACCTTTTCTGTGTTAATTTCATTATGATATTATTTGCTTTTGTTTCGTTGAGTTTCAATGTTAACAAATTCACGAAGAAAACAATTAGAAGAAAATCTAATCGGCTGAGAGACACATGAGACAGAAATTTCAACTCACAACTCTTCTCGTGTGATGTTAATAACAAAAAAGAGAGACAGAAGTCGGAGAAAGGGGAGGGATATGTTACACGGAATGATAATAAATTGCGAGTAATTTATCGCGCAGTCGCAGAAGGAACCAATCGCTTGTCTCGAAAAAAGTTCCTCGCGCAATAAAAAACTTCGACGAGAAAGTGAACAGAATTAGGAAGAGTCTCGACGAAGAGGAGAAGAGCGCGCGCACACACATACACATACACAAAAAAGATGATCGGGCGCAAAATCGTCGAACCTATACAAATCACATGCAAGAACCGAGAGGAAGACTCGTCCCGAGAAGAAATAGAAGGGGAGGTATAAAAATTAAATAGCGATGATGTGAAGAATACGGATCTGATTCTCTTACCGCGGCCGTTATTTCGAAGGCCGTTCTGATATCCCGTCGTGGTCGTCGTGGAAAGCGACATCACGCTGTTCCGATATCTGAACGGACTAATTATCGGACCGTTAGTGACCTTCGGAGTGGTACTGACGGTGTTAAACAAGTTGAAGAAACTGAAGCTTCTCCTGGTGGTGGTCGTGCCGCCACCAACGTTCCTATTACTATCGTTATCGTTATAGTATTTGTACCGATCGGTGTACAAGTCGTTCGCGGTTGTCTGTGTGTATTTGAATAGCGGTAGTGTGACGCGTTTGTAAGAATTAGTCGACGTCGTTATCGTCGTAGTCGACGCGGTCACGCTCGTTAACGGCGTGCTCTGCGTCGTCGGTTCCCATGGAGACCTGCGTGGCATATATTATCATGACGTTACTTACTACTGTACAATGTGTGTTGCAGTGTGCGTTCCGTTTAATTGCTGTGTGTGTTTGCGGTAATATCGATGAAAAAATAAATAAATAAATAAATAAAAACGTCATCAATCTTAATGCGGATTTGACGCGATTTCTCTCATTACAAAAGTTGTTCGATCATTACCTGTAGTCTGTATTGTTATACTGAGCGAATATCGGCCGATTTTGCTGAGCGGGATTGAATATGCTGTCCCGGCGAACGTACGTCGGTATGTTCTGCGTGTAATCCGGTATGATGTTCTCGTGTTCCGCCACGCACTTTCCGTTCAGGCAGTACTGGAAAGCAACATATCGATGATCGGTGATTAACATCTGTGCAAAGACACACCGGAAAAATTATGCGCCGGGTTACGCCGGCGATGTGTGTCGTCTTGACTTGTGAAATTACATAACGTGACACCGTGACATTCGTAGTATTCGTACACCGTATTCGTGTACAACGTCAGTTTGATTGTAATTACGTGTTACAGGTGCTACGAATAACAGACACACTGTGCGAAAGTTACATATGACGGAAGATACAAATAAAAAAAAAAAAAAAAAAAACCAATGAGAGAAATCAGCTTCTTTCTTTTCGGGAGCAAAATGTCATTCTCGATGTAAATAATTTTTTTTTTTTTATATTCTCTACCTGACCGTCTCCGCAAGGTGAACCTTCCGCCGCCGGACGATACGCGACGCAATATCCCGAACCGGCGTCGAAGCAGAACAGCTGAGCGCAAACTCGATCATCTTTCTAAATGTGCACACAAACAAATATAACGTGAAACATTAATAAAAATTGTGAAAAAAATTGTACCAAGTTTGTTTTTAAAACAAACACGGAAAGATATGAAAACTATTATGAAACATACAAAACAAGCGCTTGTTCCGCGGTCTTTCCGGCATTGCGCGTCCAAAGACAGCAGCTTTCCCGGAAGCACTCTCGGTAGCGCCTCGTCCTCGTGAGGTGCGTTGTATAAGCACGTCGCTGTGTCACCGCTAAACAAAAAAAAAAAAAACAAACAGATCGAGACGTGAATGCACGTTACACTTTTCAACGGTTTGCACACATTTTTTTCTTAAAAAAACATCCGTTTTACAGATCGGACTTACTTCAGGAAGTGATGGAAGGAGGACACGCTGCAGTGGGACCATTTGAAGCCCTTCTCGGTGTGACGAAGATCGCTCATGATGTATCCGTCCTCCCAGCGGCACTTTTCCGCGCCCGGTCCGCCGAGATAACTAGGCGGCGGCGAACCATCGTGAACGGCACCCAATCTGTCGCAGAACGGAATTGTTGAGCAAATCGCGAGAAGATTAGGAAGCTAATAATTTTTCATAATTTTTTTTTCTACGCTTACAGGTGGCCCACTTCGTGCGCGGCGACAATGATACCGCTGAATCCACCGGTGTCCTCTATGATAGCGACCGAATTCACCTTCTCGAGACGCTTATTCACGACGCAGGCTCCGCCAACGTACGCGAATCCTGCGCGGAAAGAATATTCTTTAGCACGCTTCTCGTTTGCGCGTTGCCACGTTTTGCGCAGCTTATTATTACTACCAAGACTATTGTATCGATATTATTAAACAAGCTGTCTTGTTAAAATTGATACTCGAGAAAGAGCGTCAAAATCACTTCACCGTAAACTCACGCGTATTAATTGTTAACGAGATAATATTTGAAATACTCGTGTGTATACAAAATTTGACTTATTATTATTAATCGAGTTCGAGAAGATTAGGGTTTAAGGTGAAGAAGCGCGTTTGTTAATTCACCATATTGATATATAGATATTTATATTACTGTATCGCAAATTGTCGAGTTACGAAGATTAATGATAATATTAATCCTTCGCCTGCAGACACGGGTCTTTCAGACTCAACTCAAAAATTGCGCATCGGTGTTTCTAGTAAAAATCAGTTTTTTTAAACATTTACATCTTCGAACCTACTAGAAATTTTTTCAATTTGTTTTTTTTTTATCGACGCAGAATCGTTCAGACTTTCGATTCAAAAAAACAAAATTCAAAAATATTGATTTTTCGCGGAAATATTTGAGACTTTAGAGTCGCGTGGGTCTCACAGACCCAGTCTGTCTTATTCGTAGGTCATTTTTTGAGGTCTACAGACGAAAGGATTAATTCGCTTTTGTAAGAGCAAGTGCGTTAAAATGTTGAGTAAGGAGTTAAATCGATAAATGCGGCATGCAACATCCCGGTTATTTTTATTGCCTGATAGTCGCCGAGAGAATTAGCTGATGTATTACATATTAATATTATTGTTCGCAGTCAGGGTGTCTGCATATACATTAATAACGAATCGGTCGATCGATCGGAATATGTCATCCCATTCTCCCACTCTTTTCCCCCCGCTGTTTTCACTTTCCCAATGCGACGATATCGATCGATACATCGTCTCTCGACGATGGTAAATTCAGAGTGATTTCAGGGACTTACCAAAGACCATCATCCATGACAGTAATGCAGCCAAAGATACAACAAGAGACGTGAATTATTATCAGGAGAAATACAGAAGAACAAAGAGGATAAGAGTGTGTGTGATGTGAAAAAAAAATATAAAACAAAAATTGAACTTTAGACTAACTCCTGTTTTCGAAAGGGCAATGTGTGTTTTTCGCCGCGAGCGAAACATCGCGTGTTATCTCCATTCGGAGACCAGTTCGTTGTAGAAATAAAATATAGTATGTACATAAATGTAAAGATAGTAAAAAAAAAAAAAAAAAATAGTTTTTGTCAATACAGTGGCGGATTATGACGCAACAGACTTTTTAAAATCTTTTATAAAAATAGAAAGAGATTGCACTCACTGTAATATTTAATTATACTAAAATTTTGATTTATTTACTGATTCTTTCCATGATATTACAAAAAAGTTTCGATTTCCGCCACTGTGATGTATAGATGTTGAAATCGAGCACACATATGCAATAGATATAAACACATATAGAAGTAAGTTTAAGCAACTGTGCAAGGAAACAGCAGAAGTTCGAAGGAGGAGTATAAAAATCGCTTGACGCATTCTCGTTGTAGAATTGCAATTTGCATGATGCGCGTACGATGTCGAAGATCATTGCGCCATGAGAAGAGAAGAGTATAAGGCATTAGCGGAAAATAGTATATATTTAGATAAGACAAGTAATAAAACAGCCTCGCCTCGAAGTTTTTTTTACAGCCTTTTTATGGCACAATAAAAAAACATGAAGATGCATATGACACAAATAACATTAATACAATTTATTTTCTACTTTTTTGACAAACAATTTACGTAAGATTTTTTTGTCTTCTTCGATTTACATCTTCGAGTCTCTTTTTTTTTTTTTTTTTTGTAGTTTGGTATTGTATTTACAAAAATATGTATATCGGAAAGTCGGAAATCAAAATTCTTAAGGTGGTGTGCATGTGCGAGATTTAAGAGAGCTAAAACGTTGTTCGATTTTTTTCTTGATCCGAAAAAAAACGTACCTGCGGTTCCTCTATTGCACACATCATTCGCGTATTGCCTCCTGCACATATCTAATCTGCAATGCAACAACAAAAATACTCTTTATCATGTAAATTCATGTTTTCGGCGATCACCCCCGACCTGGTCACGAGACAAACAACAATAATTATTAAAACGGTGAGACTTACGCCGCTCGAATTGGTCCTTTTTTTTTTTTTTGTCGATACTGTGCAAACTAATAATAAAACTAGATAAAGAACAAAACGCTAGTACAACAAAAAATTGAAAATTCAATTCGAGAGTCACACACAGTTTGAAGGATTTGCAGAAGGGAGATTGAAATATAAATTATACAATGATAATCATTCTCTCGAAAACGGCCGCGCTATACGTACACAGTGCGTAATCCTTGCGTCTTGAGAACAAAGTTCGATGACGTCTTTTTTGCAACAATCAACAATGCTGATTTTTTGCGTGCGATCAGAAGCAAACACCCGCAAAAGCGAACGCAGCAAATCAGAGCTCGAAAAGAGCTCGTAATTTCAAAACAGCAGTTCACCGAGAGGTGAAATCCACTCCGAGTTTTTAACCGGTTTCTCAAATCTCGTTGCAAATTCTGCGCGCTTCTCCGAATTCACATTCGCAGTTTCGAAAAATCTCGTGATGCGAAAAAGCATCTGTGTGGCGCGTGAAACCAAAAAAAAAGAGAAGCAAAAACAATTGTATATATATATAATATGTATATATTTCTCGTGCATAAACAAATGCTTACCAATTAAAGCGGTGATGCATCACACACACGAGCGTGCGTCAGATCCGATTAATCAAAATTTCACGCATTTCGATCGGGCACGCAACACGTGTTGCAGATTTATCGCGCGAGATTTCGGAAGTATGCGGAATAAAAATTCTTCGCGACTGTGTGAGAAAACATTTTGTTTTTTTTTTTTGCTCGTCGTTAATTAAATTAGTGATAACCATAACCCGCTCCTCGTTCGGGTGTGTGCGTAAGAAGCATTGTGGTGCATTGTCTCGCAAATCGATTACAAGTTCTAATTTCAAGGTCCGTACGTTACTGAGTCGTGAAAGATGTTCTTGTTCGGAAGAGCTATCGTATTAAATGACAAAGTTTGAGTGTTTTTTTCTTGCTGCGCGATGTGTCGCTGTCGCGATAAAATGATCGAACGAATTGTATATCTTATGTTTTTTCTACGATCTTTGCACATTGCGCTCGAGAAAAGAACATCTTTCTCGAGACTCGTTCCGAAGTGCTCCCTTAACAAAATGCTACTGTTTCTGTTAGATTATACATATATAAATAATATATACCACATTACTTGTACCGTCAACAACAACATACCGTCAACTATATACAAGCCAGCGAATGCGCTGCACCATAATAAATACGTTATAAGAATTGTAAAAAAAAAAAAAACAAAAAAGAAGATAAAGCGTGATCGCTATGTAACAAACCATACCGGCAGTTCCCTTAGTGCAGCGGCCGCCTTTCCTACGACGGCACATATCATACCTGTTTTGCGGAATAAAAATCGAGAGTATGAAATTATCATAATAAAATGTGAACAGAGTTTACGTAATAGAAAATATATATACTCATATAAAAATATTGAATATTGCAACAAAACAAAATAAAGTGGAAAAAAGTATTTAAAATTATAAAAAAGAAAAGAAAATTTTTTCCTTCAATTAGTCATAAAGTTAATGAGTTATTGTAATAATTAACACTTTGAGCGCCAAATGTGTTCGTGAGTACATATATTTATTTGTCAAAATAAAGTTTCTTTATTTATATTCAACATATTTGCAAACAACTGCAAAACTCGTTTTCATTTGAGCAAATAAGATTGTCTCCCCAGAGACAAATGGAAGACGGAGCCTCTGCGGATATAAGTCGTGTGTCTTCCAGAATTGGGAGACGTGGCGCTCAAAGTGTTAAAAAAAAAATCTGGATTGTCACAAAGAAAGAGAGCATAATATCTGCTGACACTTTCGTGACTTGTCGTCGCAGAGTAGCGTACGCTATAACATATATATATATATACGTAGTATATAAACCACTTTTTATACGAATTGGACACTCTTACTTTGTAACGGCAACTGCGATGTCATACACAGGAAGTCTCCTCTCCCGGAAAAGGTATTTGCCCATGTCAGTCAGAGCGGCCGCCGAGTCAATTGCGTCTCTTCCCACGCGATTCCTTTCTAAGTACGGTGTCGCGTCTCGTCCCTGAATGTAACACAATTTTAAATTTTACACGCAAGAGAGAGAGAGAGAGAGGAAGAGAGAGAGAGAAAGAAAAAAAGGGAGAGAGAGACGAGAGTCGTCAATGTCTGTATATAACTTGCAATAATACTTATTCAAGTCGTGACTTCGACGACACGACTGGTTTTACGAGACTTCGAGAGGCAACAATAAAAATTTTTACACACGTCAGAAAGAGATTTACATATCTAAAGAAACTCGTCGGTCGTGTTTTGATCGACAGTTTATTAAAGTCATGCCGCGCGTGCGTTGTTGAAGAAAAAAGATGATTTTTATTTTCTTGTCGTTTGTCTTCTCGCTTACCCGTGAGATTATTATCCCCGCTATACTGATACGTATTTTTGGCCCCTTTAGTAACTTGTACCTCAGATCTACTCCGTTCCAGAAGGACACGAAGTATCGTTTGATCTGTACGTTGTCGCCGCCGTGCAATCTGGAAAGCACAAAAACAAAAAAAAACGATCGCGTTCGTTTTAGAGGAGCACGCGCGTTTAATACGCGCTCGTATAAACGACAAAAACGTGTCATTACGCCGGTGATTCGCGGGAACGCGCGTCCGTACAAGGAAAATAACGGTTATTGCTCGGAACTGTACATATGCATATACACATCGCGTACATATACACTTCATAATGATGCATCAGTCGACTCACCTGTACCCGTCGTAATCCACAATGCAGAGGATTTCCGGGTAAATGACGTACGGTGCTTCGCGCTTCGATCTGTTATTGATCGACCGCTTGATTCTATACCTCTTAGCTAAGTGGTCGGGCTCCATCAGCGCTAAAATATTTGCAATTATGTAAGAGACAATGTGTTGTATCAAGAAAAGAAAAACAAATTGTTTGATCAATGCACTTTTCAAAGACTGTGTTTCAAAATCACTGCCAGTGCTGAAAAATATAATAAAAAGCGAACTATAGATTTTTCCCAGCAGTGAATTTTTTTTGAAACAGCGAATCAAAATTGACTCGAATACAATCGAAACAATTCCGATCTCTGTACGATCCCACTCACAAAAATCGCTGTACTCGTCGTCGACGGGCCGATCCACTGTTTTGTAAACAATGTGATGACTTGTGCGCTTCAAGTCGTCGTTTCTGGTAACGTTGGGCAGTAATTCGGATTCGTGGAGAGACGGCGTTTTGCTCACGATTTCCTGCAGAACCCGTTCCGGCAGCGGTCGAATAACCAATCCCGAACCGATGGTTCCGTCCTAAAACGAAACAGCGTCGCGAAACGTTTACAAACCGCAAATTGCAACTCCGTGAGTTTTTAACAACGTCTTATTTTCTCGTGTTTTTTCGTCGTACTTTTTGGGGGAATTTAAATACGCGTTTCAGAGACACAGAGTTCACACAACCGCGTGTGTTGCACAACTTACTGTTCGGATATAATGTTGGAGCACAAACCTTCTTTGTAATTAACTGTGACTGTAACTGTAACTGTAACAGTTTCTCCAAAGCAACCGCAATGTTTTCAGATATAAAATATCGTTTTTTTTGTTTTGTTTTTCCGTGCTCGAAACAAAAGCAGACAATGATGTGAAATTTTAAAAGAAATCTACGAAAAGGATGTTCGCGCGTGTTCTTGCCGCGAAAATTTCAAACATAATTTTCAATCCGTGTTTTCTAAACTTTCAAACAAGCGTATGTAATTGTTGCTTAACTATCAAACTACACTGCGATAGAGCGAAACGGCATATAACGTTGCATCCTGCGAAATCATCCGATGACGTATATACATTTTATCCTCAAAATTACGCAAAGTTTGCGCCGCGATTTATTACAATAAATGAAGCGTAACGCATTTAGCCGTGGTTGGTTCGATTAAATCGAACGTTTCCATCACGGATTTCGAGCGTGTTTCGCAGCGAGGCGAATTGTTCGTGTGCGCTTAATTCTCCGATCCGGACACGATCCTGAGCCGTTCGATCTGCGGCAAAACCCGTGTAAGAAGTGCATTTGGTCAGATATATCTCGGAGGTGGGAGAGAGCGAGAGAGATACAGAGACAGAGAGAGAGAAAGAGAGAGAAAGAGAGTGAAAGCGAAAGGTCAAGACACCGCGGGGTCACTTAGAATAACGCTTTTACGGTGCATTATGTAACCGTCAGATTATATTATGTACAAGCCCAGGTTTTGCTCGGACGACATTACGGTGTTTCGCCTTCGTTAAAATTTCATTCCGACTCCCACGCGCGAATCGCGCGCGCGGAAGAGAAAAAGAGATTGATCCTATCGTCGCGTTCGGCGTTTAAATCCTTATGCAGGTGAATGAGAGGGTGTTTTTCATACGTCGAACGATTAACTTTCACGACTCACATATAAGGCATGTAACGCGGGTAATTGTAACACACATCACTTCGCCCGCGCAACCAGTTTGTACTCGCGTATTATTCGCGTATATTCGACGCGTATATTTGACAGATAAGGTACCTGGCCCCAATGACTGAACACATTTTATTAAAGAAATAATTCTAACAAAGTATTTATTATGTAATTAGAAGAGAGAGAGAGAGAACTAATATTTACAAAAAAAAATCTCAAAACATATTTAAAACAGAGAATGTTTAATATTTGAAGATTGTTTAATATTTGATTATGTTTAATATTTATTGCAATAATTATTTTTATTTAATTAAATGTACATCTATTGAGACATATGTTCGGTTACTGGCACAATTACCTCAGCCTCTTGCGCGTAATAACGTTTCTATTCAGATGTTACATATCTCGATTTTTGTTGATAAAACATATCGATGTTACAATTGCGGAAAGGAAAGAACGCGATTCTCTTTTTTATGAGAAACAAGAAAATCGTATATTATATCACGGGACAATGAATTAGCACATTGGACACCTCTCATTTCGAATTCACGTCTTCTCGCTTTCGAAACCTGCAAAATCTACAACTTAGAAATTTCGCAACGAATTGAATAGCGTTACATGAACAATTGTGATATCTTCGCAAGCGGGCGCGAATAACCCGAGGCTCTCTTGTCATCATCAAAACTTATATGAGATAAATGTAAATAAAGAAAAAATATATTGTGTGTACGCCGTGCGCACAGACAGCCGCTTCCTCGTAGAACGGCAATTAAGAAGCTTTGTAAGAGAAATCAAGTCACGCTCGTTTGAACGCGAAATTATTGGGAACAACATCCTTCTTTCTCTCAAAATTGCAGACCGGTGGCGAAAGGTAGGACCTATGGCGCGGTTTTATTGGTTTCTCTCTTCTCGCGGACACAAACAATATCTTCGCGTGAGCATTTAATTTCTGAATCCCGAGGAAAAACGTCAGTTGCGCGAACTGCAAAGAAGAAAATGTCAAAATCGTCGGTCAATGCATCGCCAGTGTGCTTAAGTAACTACACGCCTCGCTGCGCGCTGCTTTTAACTTCGCGGCCGCGCGATACGTCATTATGAAAATGAACCCGAGGTAGACACACTTTTATATTCCCGACAATTGAATGATTAAGTTTCGCACAATATCGTAACGTATCGTTTAATAAGTCGTGTGTTTGATCCATTTGAATGTCAATTGACATCAATATAATAATTTAGTCACTTTTGCAAAAAAAAAAGTTTTTATCATCCGCCAAAAGATTTTACGATTGTTCCGCAAAAATACACCGATACGGTGAAGCACTGAAAATCGATAAATTTTGTCCGCAAAGTGGATGTCATACTTAATTCATGAAAACGATGACGATCGTATTTTTTTATACGTGTATATATTAAATTTATTTCGGAACAGACATTCTAGTATAAACTTAATATATACACTTAGTGTATACACTTTTTGATGATCGCTTCTCAAAAAAGAGATTATAAATTCTTCGACGTAGTAAATGTAATACATTTTAATAATAATACACGCGAGATTTATGTGCACACGGATTGTTTTTTTTTTTATCTACGTATCTGTCAAGCGTAAATCAATGATATAATTAATTCTATTATAAAGGCAAAAAACAAAAGAAAGTAAAAATTTGGTAATTATTGTGACGTAGGTATGTTATTTTTGAGTTACGTGTGTATTTTTAATAAACGCCACAAATAATTTATATTTGCATTAAAAACACAAATTAGAATTATTAAAAAGAACAAAAACTTAAATGTGATGTAATCAAAGCTCCTGTTTGCGTGTAAAGAATTTAATCAAATTTTCTTTCCGATCTTTTTTCCGTCATTTCACCGCGCATATATTAACAATTCGCGTATCAACGACTGTTTTTGTTTGTTTTTTTTTTTTTTAGTACTTCAAACACCGTAACGCCGCAATAAAACTGTTACACGCCGTGCGGTGCGACAAATTGCGATATTGCTATAATTATAACACAGGGGTCCTAAGCGAGTCGTGCCGGTTGACGAAAGACGTCACCCGCAATAATGCGGCGGTGACGAAAGGGAGATTAAGAAAGAATGGCCGCTTACAACGCGCACTTTCCCATTCGTGTCCCGGTGCAGCAGAATGGAAGCCATGTTCTCCGTGTCTTGATAGATGTCACCGATATCCACGTCAGCCTGGAACAAAAGGGAACAATTGGACTTCGTCGCCTCCCTTTTACTGTCAAAAAAAAAGAAAAATTTAATCGACTGTATACCGAAAAAATGTACAAAAAAACGCAACATTTTTTCTATTAAAAATCGCATATTTATGTTTCTGGCAATTTTCGAAAAAAATTTTTCTTCGCGATAATAAGAAAAAAATTAACGCGACAGAGAATGGTCGAAAAGAAAGGAAGTCACTTACGTTCTTCACCCGCTCGTAGCGAAGGCCGTCGGGTTGCGAGGCGTTTCTGACAACAGTCCACATCGGCAGACTGTTGACCGTCAGCAGTCCTTCCGTGGGCTTTAACGAAAGGCTGATATCTTTGCCGAAGGCCTTCAGGTGAATTTGTGGTATCGCGTCCACGCTCCTCTTGTACACCGTGTGAAACACGGGCACGACTTCGTACGGCGGCACTGCAGTACGAGGATGAAAAAAGCGCATGTTTATATGCACCGCACAAGATTATATATTCAATCATTTTCTTCCCGTTCTCTTCCCTCCCGTCCCCGCTGTTAGGCTTAATTTATTTTTGTCAGTAACCTTCGCGAGAAAAAAAAAACACAACTCTGCTATGAAACGTAATAATCTTTGAAAATTATACGTTTTTACAAGATTAGCATATCGTTAGCATGGATGTTTGCAAATTACGATTATAGCGCGTCTCATAATAATTAATGATTCTTTCGGTTTTTTTTACATGTTAAAAAATTGTATACGACACACAAAAAGAGAGTCAAAAAACATTGACGTCTCGCTTTAACGCGGATTGTCGACGAGGAGAGCGACTCCTCTCGACGAAAATTCTCTCGCGTTTGAATCACGCGCTTGATCGATGACCCGCACCGATTTTCGTCACGATTTGCGTCACGGGACAAAAAAATGGGAAGATGGTGTGTGCGCTCGCTAAGTGTGTGTGTGTGCTACGTTTTTTGTTTTTGCTGCTATTACCGGAATCGTGTCCCGTGTAGAACACCGATAGCATCTCTTCCCTTGTCATGTGCTCGTGAATCTGAAACACAAATGAGTTAAATGAACACGGATGTTGCAATGGTTTCTTCTTACGTAATACAGATTCGTCGTAATATCGCACGTTCTGTTAAACGGCTGATGGATAAGTCCAAATAGATATGAATAAATCTAAATAAAGATGTTACACACACACACAATGGTCGGTTATTACGACTCGCCTTTCGAAATCCTATAAAATCCTACGGCTGTGTGTGACATGTCAACGTAAATCCCAAGCGAAATATGCGTTAATTGGAACATCAAATCGAAAGAAAGTTAATTTCGTCGGACGCAAATATATTTCACGGTTACTCTTGAAAACTACCACCGTATAATTAGTTCAATAAGGAAATAAATATGCGGCTTGAAAAAGGATTTTTGAGCGAGATCTTTCGCAAGCAAATCCAACTTCCGGGGATCGGCGCAATTTCTCGTCATTATTCGTCATTACGTTGTATTATACATTTTTTTTTCTCCCGCGCGTCTTGACAGTTCTGCGAGTTCAATTTCAGTTTTCTTACCGAAAGATTACCGAACCGAATTACTTTCTTGGGCGATACACGCTATTCCCATCGTGTTACCAATATCGTGGGGAAATAAGGTAAAGAGAAATGAACAATAAAATGCGGTGTGTACGTACGAAACTACGACGATCGCGGAAAAGACATTTCGTCTCGTGAAAAGTGTTGCTTCACAAAGCACGTTGCGGAATTACCAACGAATTAATCCACAATTGAAAGTTCAGATTTTCACAACATAATAAGGAGATTGCGATTTTATATTTAAATTGATACAATTAAGTAATGCGTCGTCGTGCGCGCACTGGCATGCAAATTGCGATTCGATCGAATTCGCAATTCGCATTCGTGCGATTTGTCAAGCAAACGGTAATTGGTCGGCGAGAAGATTTGCTCGGAGTTTTCAAAGTTTATTCTCGGAATCGCTTGCTCGCCTCCGTCTGGTTTTAAAACGCGCGCGGCGATATGTCCGATCAATCGGGTTATGTGCGCGGCGTATTCAATTTTCCAATCGCGTTCCAAGGTCTGCTTCTACCATTTAGCGGCGTTTGATCGCGCGCGGTGTCACAGAAATCGCGAGCCGCGGCGAAACGAAGCCCGCAGCTTCTAAGGTCGATCACTTTCGCTCATTATTACCGATCGTGTGTTCGATCGAGAGTCTCAATCGATTTGCGCTGCGAGCGATTATTCCGCAACGAAGTGTTAATTACGTATTATCCGTTAGATATTCAAAATTTGTTTTTTACTTAAAACTAATTACACACGCATTTAAATTTAAAAAATTACCATTTTTGCATTAAATTTGTTTTTGATGTTCCTATATACATTAGAAAGAAATCTATAATTATCGAAATTAAATGAATATTACGAGTCGCGCGAGTCCACGTCAGCTGGCGGCAATAATAAAATCCGATAGTTTCTCACGACAGTAATTCCCGCGATCACGGCAATGAATTTTGTAATACTCATTAACCGTAACCGGCGAGTCGCGCGCTTCAATCGTAACGTGTTTCACGCATCTTTGAGCATAACCGTCGTCGATCGATAGAAAACGCGCGGTCGTCGTCTCGTCTCCGTGAAAAAAAAAAAAAAAAAAAAAAAAAGAGGTTTACTCTCGCGAAGAGTCATTCCGGTTTCGCTTTCGGTCTCTCCTACAGTCAATAAATACGACTCGAAATCATGTAAATCACGGCTGCCGGAAATCGCGCGAGCAAGTTTTCTCATCTGAAAGTGAGGCCGTTTAAAATATTATTTCCTTTACAGTTTACGTAAGTCGCGAAGCCGTAGCAATTAACTACGTGATGATTCAATGATCATCGCCTCTGATAGGCAAACGCCGCCGCTTCTCGTTTCAATTACAACGCCTAAAGTATCAATTACAAGATTCTTCTGTCCTTTCTCACACGTCACGCTTCACCGATGATTAACACGATGCTCTTTGCTTCTCGGAAAGGGGCACTAATTGTAACACACTTTGACATTTTTGTTTTTTTGTTTTTTTTTAAATTAAAACGCGCGCGTTTCTGAGATTTACTAACGCACAAGATTATCTCGATCTCTCGCTCGCTTGTTCTGCTTTCCCGCTACTTAAATTCTTAACTCGTGTGTGTGCGCGTCGTAGACAAGAAAATCGCGCGATTATCATCCACATTTGGATTTCTTAGGAAAAAAAAAAAAAAAGAAAAATTGAAAGCAAGGCAATACCTACTACAAAACATCGAATGGTTCGATGATTTTTGTTGCAATTTCGTGCGCTCGAAGTTCTACTCTTACGTAAGTCCAGAGGAGAACCGGCCATTGACCACAACACCGCTCGTGTGATGATTATCTACGACAAGATGACGCGCACACACTGAACGGGCGCGCGTGCTGAATCGTAACGTGTGCCATCGATCGCAATCCGGTGTTCTTTTTATACACGCGTTTTCTTAATTAACAAAAGACGATGTAGAGTGGCTCTTATTTATTCTGCGTAAAAAAATTTTTTTTAATTGTTTCCGCGACACCCTCAATGGTTCAAATTGTCAAACAAATAATATGTAAGAAAGATCAGCTCTATCGAATAAGGGAAAAAGAAGCTCCTGGACCTTTACGCATTGAAAAACTTATTTAAATGTGCACAAAGAATAGATTTTATTCGATTAAACTTCCAACTTATTGATTATATCGAAAAACACGTTGAACAAAAGTTAAAAGTTTCTGTAAAGAACTTGAAGCAATAAGTAAACTGCGAGTTAATGATACATCACCGCCGTCTCACACTCATCGCGTATCTTATTCGAAGTTTCCCCATGTACAATTTAACAGAGAGAGATAATATCATTGATAAAAATATTATGAAATAAGATATAAACTTTGGCTTTTTCAATTCGACAAAATTCAAAACACCAATAATCTTGTTTGCAAACATAAAACACAAACTATATATATCCAGCGTTACATTAAAACTCGTCGATTCGCGTGCGTCGACGATCATTCCGAGAGCAAGCCTGTTAGAAATAAACCGGCGCAGCCGACATTTACCGCAAGCGGAATTATGAAGCGTCGTTAATTTTCCTCTGTGCCGCGATCAGCTTTAAACTAATTAGTCCCTCGCGCGCCGTAATTACGCAACATATGTTCGAACTACTGTGTCTAATTTTCGTTAGCATTTGTTACACGCGGTTTTATCTAATAGAACGCGATTGATTCTGACGATGAGATCTTTGTTGGAGCCTTATTACTTTTTCCCCGCACGGGGGATAAATTAATATTCACAAACTTTAAAGGTTAAAACACGCGCACGTGAACATATCGTAAAAAACAGTTCCTCAAAGCGTTGAGATCATATTTCTGTAGGATCATAAAATTGAAAGCGAAGAAGAACACGTTAATGCTGGAACACAAGGATACGTTTGCAAATAAAGAAGAAGACACTCCGCACGCACAGACCGTGACTCGCGATGAGCGATATGATTAACTATGACGGCTGTCGCACACTTTTGTGAACTCGCGTTCGTTACTTTACTTGAGCAAAATAATTTTTCTGATGGGCGTGCGCGCTCGCTCTTTGTCTTAAAACAAGTAATTGCGCGTGTCCTTGGCGCGTCTTGACGATACTTGATCTTACCTTGTGGCATCGTACGAGAGGTAGAATGATGGCCATGCAGAGAAGGACAAGGGCGCGAGTCATTTTGCACAAAAATACTCCTGACTGGTTGCGTCACATCGCTGAAACAGAAAGCGGCGTCGTTGCCTTTCGTGAGAAACGAAAACGAGAACGAATTGAAAAAAATTAGCACTCGCGTGATAAATATCGGCGAAGGTGAATGCATCGCGAGCGAGAAAGCCTGTGTGTCGCGCGAGCGCGCGCGCGCGCTTGACATTTGCTTATCTACGTGTATTTACCACGACTCTTCAATTTATGTTATATAATTTCTTCGAACTCTTCCTGTGAGTTTTAATTACGCGTAAATATATTTGTTTAAGTAGATACGCATTAAAAAAAACCTTAATAAACACGTCGTTAATTTTCTCTCTTGTCGCGTGTCGCTCAATAATAATTAAATGTTTAACAAACGCACGCGAATACAAAATATTAAGATGTGTTCAACTGATAGCTTTACGGTGATGTTTTCCATTGATACCTTTTGTATGATAATTGCATTTGCGCGAGCCTGTGAGAATTAAGTGCGCGAAGCAAATAAAAAGAGGCTCGGATGACCGGTGCGCGCTCGCAATGAGGAAATCCCGCGCGCGGTTATATAATTTTTACCACACCCGGTTGGCGAAATGTGAAAATGAAAAATCGAAACCTAACCTTCGCGAAGAATTCACGCATGCCTGGAACTGAAAACTACCGTATGAATCGCTCTACAGAGAAACGAGAGCATTTCGCGGCGTGTGTACAACACACGCGAGGTTGGACGCTGCGGCGATCCCGGAAGGAAAGTTTCAGCTGCCTCGCGCACTCGTGCGACGCACAACTTCGCGCCAAAAGCTTCGAACGCGCAGAAATCGAAATTAAGTAGAAAAAAAAAAAAAAAAATTAACAGCGTCTAATAATTAAGTTGTCACATTTTGTCTTGATTAATATATGTTTTCGAGCTAATAATTAACCTACTTATTTACATCACAGAATCACCTAATTCATTATGTTACTAAGTAGACTACTAATTGGTATCTATTGTGTTTTTCTCCGGAAAATTCACTCTTATATACGACTCGCGGAATGTTCAATTGAATTTTATGCAAACAAATGAAAATCAAATGGAACGCGGAGAAACTTCTGGGAGCGCGAGTGCTTCATTGTTTCAATAAGAATATGATCTTCAAGCCAAGTACACAATATATTCCAACTTTCGTGCAACAATAACGACGGTTTCATGGATCAGGTGTAACTTTCGATATCACCGGGAAGGGTATTATACGATAGTAAACAATTAAGTACGAGAGTCTTCTCGTGTTGTTTCGTTCGTGAATTCTGACTGTATTTTTGCATGTCGAAAGTCATCCGCGCGATCATTAAGCAATTACGAGATTGCGTCGTGTTTTATTATTTCGGATGGAAAGCAGAAGCCGCTGTTACGATTTTTATGCGGCGTAAGAGACGCGCGCGGTTATCATCGCGAGGAGATCTCAAGTGTAATTAGTCGCAGAAAAAAAAAAAATGCTTTCACCTAGAAAAGTCAGTTGAAAACAAGCGCGATACAAATTTAGGCTATTGTTCGGAATTGTTAACGTGGGCGTCCAATTTGCTTTTTATTGTTGACTCGCTCGCGGTCAAACTGGATTTCGCCATTTGCGCGAGGAGTTGCAAAAACATATTAAAGACAGGTTTCACTACTCCGTGCAACTCCGTGAGAACAGCTACACGTGAGAGGAGACGAAGAAGTGACTAACTTGTTTTTAGAATGACTAAGTTTTATCCTAAAGTCATAAAAATAGAAATCCAAACAGCTCCGTATAACACGCGACTGCACTTTTTACTTGGCCTTGCAAAAAATACCGAGTTCCGATCGCGTCGCTGTACTACCACCAGTGTGACATTTTGTTTGTCTCTAGTGCTACACTTGCTGATCCAGTCGAGCTAAACAAAATATAATTTTCACAAGTTTCTCGCGCGACAGCAAACTCGCGTTGCGAAAGAAAGCGCGGATGAAAGATGTTAAATCATTCTAAGTTATAATGTAAGCACAGTAAAATGAATTTACACAGGCGACAAAAAACAATTATTGCGAAATCGGATCCCGTTACTTCCCGATCGTTGCACGATGAAATTTATAAACTCTGCGGTTTGTGTAAAATAAGAGACCGAATGTAACTCGACGCGACAATCATGAGAAAGTGTGAATTAACGAGTATCAAGTTATGCTATAACTTAGATGACGGTTTGCGCATCACTTTCGCCTGACCTCGAAAAAGCGGGCCATTGTCGGGGTTTCAGGTAAATGCCTAATTTGCTCCTCATTGTGCTCCTCGTTTTGCGAGCGAGCACAGAACGTGCGCCCCGCGCGACATCGGTCCTCTTTCTTCGCGGTACGTTAATTAACATGGCCGCGCGTAATAATTGCAGGTTATAAATGTCAACGTTAACGCTCGGAAAGTCGAAGATGAGGTAAAGGGCAACTGGTTTTCTCATCGTATTACACACCGTCGTGAAAAGAGAGAGAAAGAAAAAGAGAGAGAAAAAGAAAAAGAGAGAAAAAAGAAACGAGAGGAGAAACGAGTCCTGATTGCGAAAAGTGATTCCTCACCTTCCTCGACGAAGCGAAGAAAACGATTCCATTGCTCGACGAGAGAGTCAAGATGAGAATTAAAGTCAGATCGGTTCTATCGCTGATGTGTGTGCGCTGTTAATACGCTCAGCCACTTTCTTTTTGGGATTAGGTATAGAGGAAAAGGCGATCGCGAGCGGGGTTTAAACGGCCAGGACGTAAGTGGTAGGAAGCAATGGAAAGTGGTTCCGAGATCGACCGTCGCACATCGATATATGTATATACGTACATATATACATATATGCATATATACATATATATATATATATATGTCTGATACGGATATATATATATATCCGTATCAGATTCTTATCTCCATTCGCTTTCTATGCCGGCGTAATATTTGCGGTTGCCGCAACCTCCAAACTGTGTAACTCGCACGTTGCAATACCGGCGTGTAATCGTTCAACATAAAATCTGTGGATCAATAATCTATATAGCAGCTCGCAACAACCGGATTACAGACCTTATGGGATCGTGTCACGGTGATTAGATTCTACGTAACTACGTAGAATTACCGAGAATTTCGTATTACACCTGTGCGATACAGAAATCGGAAAATTCAAAGAAGATAAATTCCGCGATAAGTGCGTGCGAGTACGCAAATTATTATTATTATTAAATTGCTATAATAACTTCAAAAAAACAAGAAGTCTCGGAAAAATGACTGTGCAATAACTGCGCTTTAATTCGCAAAACAATTTCGTCACACCGAACAAAAATTGTTGTCTCACAGTGATTACCCTTGTAGGAATTGACGAACGGCCCAGTATTGGGTCAATATCGGCAAACGAGGCTCGATATTGGTACGACAGTAGTAGCCAGTACTGGGCGAATATGCTTAATGATTAGTCGTTTCGCCGGTACATAAACGACTCTTGGCAAGACAACAGTTTCAATATTGGTCCTGTCTTCTTGCCAATACTGGCCCGATATTGGCCCGGTCTTCTTGCCAATACTGGCCCGATATTGGCCCGGTCTTCTTGCCAATACTGGCCCGATAT